AAGCGGCCACTGCACTCCAGTCTGGGTGACAGAGTGAGACTCCAGCTCAAAAAAAAAATAGCTGTATTGTCACCTAAAGCATAGGAATGAATCTACAAGCTCTAGTAGACAGAGACCCTATTCTCTTGTTCACCAGGAGGGCACATAATAGGTCATAATAAATGTTTATTGAGTGAATGAGTGAATCCATCAATTAATCTATAGTTCATAATAGCTCACGGAGGCCACTAGTGTGACAAAGAGCACAAGTTTTGAGGTCAGACATCAGAATTTCAATTCTGGTCTGAGTGGCTACATGGGTCTTGGTGCTGCGCAAGCACAGTGCTCGAGTAAAGTTCTGCATAAGTGGCCTCGGTTCGTAAAAGCCCCTTTCCCGGGAAAGCTCAGTGCCATCCCTGTGGGGTGATGGGGTGAAGAGACGCAGGAAGACACAGCTCGGGGTGCGATGGGAAGGAGGCGGAGGGCGGGGGGAGAGAGAGAAGGGGAAGGGGGAGGAGGACTCCAGGCTGGGGATCTCCGACCAAGCCTGAGTCCCCCAACCTGCCCAGCCCAGGGCGGGGTCTCCGCCGGGTGGGGCGGGGTCCCCGCCGGGTGGGGCGGAGTCGTGGGGCGGAGGCCGGGCTGTCCCCAGGAGGCACCGAGGGACCTGGCCTGCAGGCTGGTGCCCGCGGCGATATGGCGAGTGCGGCCTGGGGTTCGAGGCCGTGGTCCCCACTCGGGCTCCTGCTCCAGCTCGTGGCGCTGCTCGGGACGCGCGGACCGCAGGTGAGAGCCGGGATGGACGCCGAGCCTCCGGGGTCGCACCGCGGGGAGCGTGGGTGGGGCGCGGCGGGGCGGAGCAGCCAGGCGCTCTCCCTCGCTCTGGCCGGGGTCTCCCCAGGTCGGTCCCTGACGAGTGAAAACCCTTTACGGTTGAGGGATTGCTCCCACAAACACCTAACTGGGGAAACATGCCAGCGTGGGAGAACGCAGGAGCGCCGAGCCCTCGACTTTTCTGCAGGGAGGTGACGGCTTGGGGAGGGAGCAGCCTGGAGAACTTGTGGAGATTCCCCGCGTCCTCTGAAAATATGATCAACTTTAAGGGTCCTCTGCTGAAAAATGCACTTGCACTTGCATTTTTACAGACAGCTTCAGGCACTTCACAACGGGGTCCCCCTTTGCCCATGATGGCATCCCAGGCTCAAAACTTCTGGGATAAATGAGCGCGAGAGGGGTGAATTGGTGGGGGAGGGGATCTGATCCAACCGTGCTAGGAGCAAAAGAGTCTTACAGAAACGCAGCCAGAGGACAAAAGTGGCCTAGCCTCGAATCTGGTCGTCCCACCTGGACACAGGGCAAAAGACATGAGTAGAGTTAGGCACCCCCCCATGTCTGCCTTCCTGCTCTGGGCACAACCCTTGGTGAAAATGTGAGCCCAGGGGTGGCCAGATCAGGTGTCTCTGGAAAAATTAGAAATGGGAAAAATTAGAAATCTAGATTTTTAAAAAGTGAAATCTTTCAACGAATTGACAGCTAATTAAAAGCAAATGTTCAAACACTATGATGGTTAAACAAAAGTCAATTGTGGGAAAGGAGTCTACAACCTCTTCTCTAGACCATTCTCCCTACCCTCCCCGCCCCCCCCCCATCGTGTTACAGATGACAAAATTGAGGCCCAGAAAAAAGAGAGGCTAAAAGGCAGTTTCGACTGTCCACCAATCACCAAATTGAGGGTCCTGGAGCAGGATGTGGCCTTTGCAGGGGTGCGGCTGGGCCACCCGGATGTTAGGGCTCCTGCCCGGAACTCAGCCTCACCCTGTTTGTTCAAGGAGGGGCTGCAGCAGGTGAGTTAGCCCAGCGGCGCCAGATGTAAGGTTAGCTCTAGGGCCCCCTCCCGCAGCCACCCCACAGGCATGGCTCAGGGGGCCTGTTGGAGCCTGGCACCAAAAGTAGCCGGGCCAGTTAGGGGAGACAGAAAGGGGCATCCCCAGAAAGACAGACCTTTTGCACAGGAGAAAGAAGCCAGGCATTGGAATCAGAGAGACAGCAGTTCAAGTCCCAGTTTTGCCATTTATTGACTGAGGGGCTTTAGGCAATGACCTAACCTTCTTCGAGTCTCAGTCTTCCTCACCTGTACAATGGGGAAACTCACAGTACCAATCTCAAAGGGAGGTTGTGAGGATCAATGAAGTAGTTTTGTAAAGGCCTTCCCTTCAGTGTTCTTTGGAAAACAGAAGAAGATGAGGGAGGAGAGAAGGAAGTGGGAATTTAGACACAGTGGAAGCGAAAGCCACCCCAGAAACATCTCAGCTCTCACTGTAACCCCTCTCTAGGGTCAAGGAGATGATGGATGAAACCAACAGCTTCCCCAATCACCCTTCCTCCTCTTCTCTGTACCCCTCTGGGGAAAGGAGAGCCACAGCCAGCCCTGTCTGAGGTGATAGCAAGAGGTGGTCTCAGACCTCTCAGAGAGCTGACTTTTTTATCCCCCCAAACCTCCACAGGTCCAGACCCTCAGACCAGAGAGCCTCCTGCTGGTGTCCACCTTGGATGGAAGTCTCCATGCACTGAGCAAACAGACAGGGGACTTGAAGTGGACACTGAAGGATGGTGAGCAAGAAATGGTCACTATTCCCTCCTTGGGCTCTTAGTTTGGTGGGAGAGAGGAGGCAGTTGCTGTGGCAGAGAGCAGGTGTCCCCAACCCCCGGGGTCCATGGCGTGTTAGGAACCAGGCCACACAGCTAGAAGTGAAGGGTGGGTGAGCAAATGAAACTCCATCTGTTTTTACAGCTGCTCCCCGTTGCTGGCATTACCACCTGAGCTCCACCTTCTGTCAGATCAGCAGTGACATTAGATTCTCATAGGAGTGCAAGCCTTATTGTGAACTGCGCATGTGAGGGATCTAGGCGGTACACTCCTTATAAGAATCTAATGTCCAATGATCTGAGGTGGAGCTGAGGCAGTGATGCTAGTGCTGGGGAGTGGGTGCAAATACAGATTAACATTAGCAGTGAGGTTTGACTGCACAGAGACCATAAAAATCAATTGTTTGCAGACTCATATCAAAACCCTATCAGTGAGTGGCAAGTGAGTTGATGTACTTCAACTGTACAGTCGCATCTGGTGGCAGGCTTTAAGGTGTCAGAATCCAACACTTATTTTAGTCCATGCATTGCCTACCCATTATTCTATTTACCACTTCCATCTGCACCTCTTTTTTTATGGTGAGATGTATAATTATTTCATTATATATTACAATAATAATAATAGAAATAAAGTGCACAATAAATGTTATGCACTTGAATTATCCTGAAACCATCCCTCACCCCAGCCCATGGAAAAATTGTCTTCCACAACAACCGGTCCCTGATGCCAATAAGGTTGGAGAATGCTGGCATGGAGGATAATAATATGGACTCTAGAATCTAGTCAGCTGAGGTCAGGTACAGTGGTTAATGCCTGTAATCCCAGCACTTTGGGAGGTCAAGGTGGAAGGATCACTTGAGGCCAGGAGTTTGAGGTTGGCCTGGGTAATATAACCCCATCCCTACAAAAAAAAAAAAAAAGAAAAGAAAAATCTGCCAGGCATGGTACATGCTACTCAGGAAGCAGAAGCAGGAGGATCACTTAAGCCCAGGAGTTCAAGGTTATAGTGAGCTATGATTGTGCTACTGCCCTAAAAATATTAATTAATCTTAAAAATAAATTTAAAAAATAATTCAGTAAGCCCATATCTACAGGCAGCCTCTCCACTTACCAGCTGTGTGACCTTGGGAAAACCCTTCATAGCTCTTAGCCTCAATGTCCTCACCTGTAAAATGGAAGTCTACCTAATGGAGTTCTTGGGAAGATGGCATTACATTCATTTCAAATGTTTGGCTTAGTGCCTGGCATACAATAAACACTCAATGGGTATGAGCTGTGCTTTTCAATAGTGTCTGGAGAGGGCAGCTCATGTTCCATGTTCTTGTCCCTACAGATCCCATCATCCAAGGACCAATGTATGTCACAGAGTAAGTGAACCCGGCATCTTTTAAGGAGGGGCCACTGAAAGATGGGGAAGCTATAGTTGCCTGGAGAGAGTTTTTCCTGGGAAGGGGGGATATTGGAAGTAAGGGAAGATAATTGGGCCTGGATGTGATATGAGGGAGGATCTTGGTGCTCCAAGGTATCTCCTACAAGAAAGGGCATATACTAGCTGAAAGAAGTTGGAGGGGGTCTTCATGAAACCAGGAGACATTCACCCAACCTTCTCTATGTTCCTTTCTGCTCCACAGAACAGCCTTTCTCTCAGACCCAGCCGATGGCAGCCTGTACATCTTAGGGACCCAGAAACAGCAGGGCTTAATGGTGTGTTTCCCACAGTGCTCAGGGTTGAGTGAAGGCCAGGGCTTTTGTCAGCAGGAGGGTGGAGGGGAACTACAGTCAGAATCTGGTGTCCTGCAGAGGATGCATGTCAAGTAAGACTCTGAGGGCATTATGGGGAGGCTGCCTGAAGGTGTCTAATGGCCCTGCTGAAAGGGTGGTGAGGGGAGCTCTGGCTGTGTCTACAGCGTGGGCTGACTGTCAGGCTGAGAGTATCCAAGGGACTTTTCTAGAATCAGGGTATTAAGAAGAAATGTATATATCAGTTAGCTTTTGCTAAATATCATATCACCCCAAAACTCAAGGGCTTAAAACCCAAACATTTCATTCAACTCAGAATCTGGTGGGATGGCAATTTAGGCTGGGCTCAGTAGGGCAGTTCTTCTGCGAGTCTTGGTTGAACTTGTTCATGCATCTGTGGTCAGCTTCTGGGCAACTGGATGGCTGTTTCTGAAAGCTGGTTGGTAACTGACTGGCTTTTGACGGGGCACCTGGACCTTGTGTCTCCCATCCCTTTCTAGCAAGTCTGGGCTTATTCATGTGATGTTAACAGGGACCCAAAAGCAGCAGGAGTGGGCAAGCCCAATACACAAGCACTTCTCAACCATCTGCTTATATCATATTTGCTGATGGCTCATCACACTCCACCTCTTTATGGAAGAAGCTAAAAGTCACCTTGCAAAGGGACATACATACAAAAAGAGGGAAAATCTGTGTCCATTTTTTGCAGTCTTCCAAATGGAGTGGAATGTGCTTCATCAAAATTCTTTTTATTATTATTATTTCTTTTTGAGACAGGATCTTGCTCCGTCACCCAGGCTGGAGTGCAGTGGTGTGGTCATAACTCACTACAGCCTCAGACTCCTGGGTTCATGTGATCCTCCAGCCTCAGCCTCCTAAGTAGCTGAGATTACAGGTGCATGCCACCACACCCAGCTCTTTGTCAGAATTCTGATTGTGCCCAAGGAAGCCTGCCAGAAAAGTCTTAAGTGTATGATTAAGGAAGCAAAACTGATAAGACATTTTCAGTCTTGTAAATCAGACAAGGCCCTAGCTCCAATACATGGCACACTCAAGTAGGATACTTTGAAGACATTTCATTAAAGGGATTGCTTACAAAGGTGTAGGTAGAGTGTAGAAAACCATAAGGAATAGTGTAGTAACCTATGGTTCATAACAGTTGGGATGCCATTAGCAGTCCTCGGCCTGGAGGTAGGAGACGGAGCAGCTACCCATCCTGGAGCCAGAAGAAGCTATACTGAGAGTGCCACCGATGGGACCTGAGGCCTTTGGTGGAGGCAACCAGCCCATGATGACTCTGCAGAGAGGAAACCAGGGCATATATACCTTGATCTCACCCTGTCCCCCTTATCCAAGCCCAACAGGAAGCCAGAGCATGGAGCACCTACTCACACAATCCAGACAAGTCTCACTCCAGGGGAAGAGCCGGGCAGAGAAGGGTGGGGGGTGGATCCTGCACTGTAGCCAGCACTGGGTCATGGTCTGCTTTATCCAGCACCACTCCTCAGTCTCTCTGAGCCTTTTATGGCTGTCAACAGTTTTGAAGTCTCTGTGGGTTTTGGAGGAGGTTGTCAGGCTGGGACCAAGTGGATCATGTGGTATCTTGGCACCGGGTGTGGGAATGTCTGCGCTTCCTCAAGAAGCTGAAGTTGTTGACTCTGGAGCTGGACTGCCTGGGTTTGAGTCCTGGCTCTGCCACTTTCTAGATGTGTGACAGCAGCCAAGTTACTTGGCCTCTCTGAGTCCCCTTTCCTCACCTAGAAAGTGGAAATAATCATAGTACCCAATGAGTTGGTTGCTGTGGAGATGGGTTCACCCTGACTCTTCCTGGGACTTTTTCCTTTTAGAAACTGCCATTCACCATCCCTGAGCTGGTTCATGCCTCTCCCTGCCGCAGCTCTGATGGAGTCTTCTACACAGGTGAGTGGCCTCTCCAGCCTGTGGGATGCAGGTCCAGACAGCAGGTACAGGGACCTAAGTCCTGTCACAATAGGCCAGCTGGACACAGGAGTGACAGGACACACAACCTTCTGCCATGCCATCTTGAAAGCTAACACACATTCCACCTCTTCAGGCCGGAAGCAGGATGCCTGGTTCATGGTGGACCCCGAGTCAGGGGAGACCCAGATGACGCTGACCACAGAGGGTCCCTCTACCCCATGCCTCTACATTGGCAGAACGCGTGAGTCAGACAGCTTCCCAAGTTGTGGGCAGCCTCCCCTTTTGCTCTGCCCAGGCCTGGCTATTACTATCCAAGTTGAATTCAAGCCAGTCAATCTGTTGGTCATTAATAAACATTCTATCAAGCACTGAACTATGAGCTGGGAGAGAGGTATAAACAAGACAGCCCTGGTTTCTGCCACTATGATACTCACAGACTTCCAGGCCTCCAGGCTGGGTGCTTGGGAAGCTCCCACCCCCACAAGCTGAACAGTCCCTGAGGTAGCGGGGAGGGAGCATCATGGGAGCATACCTGGTAATCTTGCTTCTGGGATCCCCAGAGTATACGGTCATCATGCATGACCCAAGGGCCCCGGCCTTGCGCTGGAACACCACCTACCGACAATACTCAGCACCCCCCATGGACGGCTCACCTGGTAAATGTGAGTGCCACCTTCCTTTGGCCCCGCCTTGGAGCAAGTCACCAAATCAGGGAGCCCAGAACGGCATCCATGACTAAGTCCTACCCACATTTTGACCGACCTGACCTCCCCAGGGACCCCACGTACTGGATGACACACCTCTGACAGCTGACCCTAAGTGACTGTCCTCCACACCCAGACTGACCCTCATATACCCTGAGCAATCCCTCAGCACCCTAACTCTACTCCAGATGACTCCAGCCAGGTAACCTTGGATGACTTCTCACAACCCGAGTGATCCCAAATAGCCCCTGTACACCCTGAGTAACCCCCATAGATCCTAATGGACCCCTTATGTTGAGTGATCCTGAAAGATGACCCTAGGCATCTTCTTCCCCAGATTGACTCCCCAGGTAACACTGACCACTTCCTTGATATTAAGACTGATACCCAACTGCCCACCTGACCTTGCAGGTGCCCCTACGCAATCCCTCGAGTCCAGAGTTCATCATTCTTCATGAGACCCCAGACAAGTAATCCTGTCACATCACAAATGACATCCCCAGAGGCCCTGACTGACCCCTCCCCCACGCTCCAAGTGACTCCCAGGTGACCTGCATGCCTCTGGGCCACCCTGGTTGACCCATCCTGGATGACCATCTGTCCATCATGGCCAATACCCCACATCCTAGCTGGTGTCTCTCAAGTGACCTGGACTGACACACATACCTGGGTCACCTTTGGATGACGCTGACTGATTCCCTCATGTTCGAAGTGACCCCATAAATTTTCATGTCCTGATAACCCTCCAGGTGATATCACCTTACCCCTGCACACCTGAATGACCCCCTAGAGGGCCCACCCTCAAAGCACCCCCCCACCTCAGGTGCTCGCAGGTGCCTCCTGTCAGAGCTGAACACATTCCCCAGCCACCTTTCTTGGCAGACGCAAGCTACCTGGTGTCTTGTGGGATGGGTCTGCTGCTCACCGTGGACCCAGGAAGTGGCACAGTGCTGTGGACACAGGACTTGGGCATGCCTGTGATGGGCATCTACACCTGGCACCAGGACAGCCTGCGCCAGCTACCACATCTCACGCTGGCTCGAGACACCCTGCATTTCCTTGCTCTCCGCTGGGGCCACATCCGACTGCCTGCCTCAGGCCCCCAGAATACAGCCACCCACTTCTCTGCCTTGGACACCCAGCTGCTGTAGGTGTTCCTACCTGGGGCAGGGAGGGAGCCTCCTGGGAGTATTGCAGCCTGGGCCCAGTGACCAGACAAGATGTTCAGTCATGAAACACCAGCACAGCTGAACCATGGGTCAAAATATCTCAAACTGGATACTTACCAAACTGGTTGGTAAATAACTGTCCTGCACTACCCCCCAAGTGTTCCCAGGACCCTGTGACTAGCCCCACTGTTCACAACTGATAGGACAAAAATCTGGTCTAGGAGGGGGCCTCTGGATCTCAACCTGTCCTGACTGCTAGGTGCTTTGCCTTATTGATTGTTAAATATCACCCTTATTGCTCCTGTGTCTTAGTGTCCCCATACGGAGGAATCAGTAAATAGACTGGGAAAATCGGGGATTGTTCATTCAATCAATTCATTCCACAAATATTGATTGAACATGTACTATGTGTCAGTTAGGCTCTGGGAGTGCAAGAGTTAATAACCCACCATTGTTCCTGCCTACAGGAATCTGAATCTAGTAGGAGAGACTCATGTAAAGAGGCAATTACAACACAGAGCAATAAAGGGTGAGATAAGAGAAGGGTGCCATATGAGAATGTATAGGAAGAATATTCAAATCAAATTGAGACTGGGGGCAGGAAGCAGTTATGGAAAGCTTCTTGGAGGAAGGGACATCTAAAGTGAAACCTAAAGGATGAATAGGAGACAAGAAAGAAAGAGCTTGGAATCCAGGGAACAGAAATTAAAAAAGACTGGAACACAGATCTGAGCAAGGAGTAAGGTCTGAGGGTGTCAAGCAGGGATATTGTAGGATCATTTAAGGAGTGTGGACATTTTCTCCTAAGGCTAAGGAGATGTTCGCCAGAAGTTATTAAGCAAGGAAGTGATTTGATCATATTTTCATCTCAGAAAGGTAACTGATTGCAGTTGTGAAGGATATTTAGAATGGTGTCAGGGAAGAAGTAGTCACTTATAGGATATTGCATTCGTTCAGGTAAGAAATGAGGATATTTTGCACAAGAGGGGAAACCCTAGAGAGGGAAATGAGTGGAGTGAACAATAGTAAAAGGGAAAATCAGGCCAGGCACCATAATTCATGCCTGTAAGTCAAGCATTTTGGGAAGCCAAGGCAGGAGGATCACTTGAGGCCAGGAGTTCAAGACCAACCTGGGTGGAATAGTGAGCCCTTGTCACTACAAAAACTTTTTAAAAATAGCCAGATGTGGTTGCATGCACCTGTAATTCCAGCTACTTGGGAGGCTGAGGCAAGAGGATCGTATAAGCCCAGGAGGTCAGGACTGCAGTGAGCCATGATTGTGCCACTACATTCCAGTCTGGATGACAATGTGAAACTTGGACAGACGGAAGGAAGGAAGGAAGGGGGGAGAATTTGGTGATTAGGGAGTTTGGTGATTGTGAGCAAAGAGTCAAAGGTCATGCTTAGGTTTCTGAACGCACATGGGTACTGTCACTTTCAGAGGCAGGGAGCACTTGAGAAAGAGGGAGAGAAGTGAAAAATGAGGAGATGAATTCATATTTAGAAAACTGAACTCCAGAAAGAGGTCTGGGTTAGACATAGATTTCACCATCATGATTATAGAGTTAGTATCAGCTTTTACTGCATAAAACTACCCCAAAACTTAGAACTTAAAAACAATAAGCATTTATCATTTTTCAAGATTCTGTAGGGTTTCTGGGTGGTTTTTCTGGTCCTGCAGTCAGCTGGTGACTTGGTTGAGCCTGGATGATCTAGGATGACCTCACTCACCTGTCTCATAGTTGGTACACTGACTGGTCTAGGGGGCATCAAATAGAATGGTTCATCCCTATTCTAGAAGGTCTTTCATGTCCCAGCAGGCAAGCCTGGGTTTCCTCCCAGTGTGGTCTCAGGGCTCCAAAGGACAACACAACAGGGCAAAACCCAGTGCACGAGCACTTTTTGAGCTTCTGTTTGTGTCACATTTGCTTTTGTCTAATTGGCTAAAGCAAGTCTCATGGCTCAGCCCAGAGCCAATGTGAGAGCCAGGGGACAACAAGGGTATGTGTACAGAACAGGGATAACTGAAACTACTCAGCACCATCATTCATCCTTCTTTTTCTTCTCTCTCCCTAGGATGACACTGTATGTGGGGAAGGATGAAGCTGGCTTATATGTCTCTAAAGCACTGGTCCACACAGGGGTGGCCCTAGTGGTGAGAAGGGGTCTTCGAGTGGGCTGGAAAGGGGATGAAAGAGAAATAGTGCCTCCTTCCCTCATGGCTCTCCATCTTCTGCCACAGCCTCGTGGACTGACCCTGGCCTCCACAGATGGCCCCACCACAGATGAGGTGACACTCCAAGTCTCAGGGGAGCGAGAGGGCTCACCCAGCACTGCTGTCAGATACCCCTCAGGCAGCGTGGCCCTCCCTAGCCAGTGGCTGCTCATTGGTGAGGTCCCTGGCTCAAATTGGGTATAGATGAAGATAAAGAGCCTGTGAGCTCAGCCTCTGAGCTGGAAGACTGAGGTCACCTTCAGCCCACTGACTTTTGGCTTTCCCCTTAGGACACCACGAGCTACCCCCCATCCTGCACACCACCATGCTGAGGGTCCATCCCGCCCCAGGAAGTGGGACTGCTGAGACGAGACCCCCAAAGAGTACCCAGGCCCCAGCCCGCTTCTTGGAGGTCAGTGTTGGAAGGGCAGAGGCGGGGGGCTGGGAAGGACCAATGAGAAGAGTAGACAGCACTTGGGCTTTTTCCTTGGGCTGCTAGGAATGACATTTGAGGGTGGGTCAGCTGACTTCACACAATTTTCCGGAAGACAAAGTCTTTTTGTTATTGCCTGAAACATGTCAGAAATGTCAAAAAGATACTGGATAACTAAATCATGAAACATGGGTCACTATTTTCTTTAATCTTCTTCAGTGTAAAAATTGTAAAATATGGCCAAACTTGGTGGCTCAGCCTGTAATCCCAGCACTTTGGGAGGCCAAGGCGAGTGGATTGCCTGAGCCCGCAGATTCAAGACCAGCCCAGGCAACTTGGCGAGACCTCGTCTCTATAATAAATTTTTTAAAAAATTCACCAGGTGTGGTAGTGTGCACCTGTAGTTCTGGCTACTTGTAAGACTGAGGTAGAAGGATCGCTGGAGCCCAGCAGGTCGACACTGAGGTGGCCGTGAGTGTACCATGGGACTCCTGCCTGGGTAATGAAGTGAGACCCCCAACTCAAAAAAAAATTGTAAAATATTCGTCAAGGGAGAAATTGAAAACAGAAAAACTATAAAAACATGCTCACCTGGGAGAGGGCAGAACAAGAATAGTAAGTAGTTCAAGGTTAGAAGGAATAGCCATGACCAAGAGCAGTAGTTCTCAAATCTGGTTGCTCATCAGAATCACCTGGGAGCCCACTCAGACTCAACAAATTCAGAATCTCTGGAAGTTAGTATATCTTTAGTGACACTCCAAGAGTATCTGTATCTTTTGGTGACAGCCCATAAAATGCTGGCCAATTGGTAGGTTTGGAAAGCCACTTCTGGGCACCATGGTGTTCAGCACCACGGAGAGCACCACATTTCGCACCATACCGACCATCCACTTGCCCCTTCAGCTAAGCCCGACCCTGTAGTAGATAATGAAGAAAGACTGAGTGGTCCACAGTGAACCAGGGTGTTAAGAGCTCCTTTTTTCTCAGCTCTTGAGCCTGAGCCGGGAGAGACCTTGGGACCCGGAGATGCATCCAGAAGAGAAAACTCCAGACTCTTATCCCAGGCTGGGACCCCAAGACCTGCTGGCAGCTAGCCTCACTGCTGTCCTCCTGGGTGGGTGGATTCTCCTTCTGATGAGGAAGGTAGGCCCATCACTCTGACCTCAGGTCCATCTTAGGGTCTTCCTAAGGGGAAACCTACTCCTCCTCTCAGACCACTCAGCAACTCTGTCACTCATCCAGCGGTGACTTTGCCCCTGCCTTCCTCCCATCAGCCACCCAAGCCCCAGCTACCGTGCTGTGTAAGTTTGTGCTCCAGGGTGAGGCCATCTCAGGCATAATCCTGAGCCTATTCTGGGACAGGGTCTAGCCAGGCAGGGCCCCTTTAGGCTCTTATGTTGCAGCAGCAGCAGCAGCACCTGGTGGAAAAGCAGGAGGAGACGCCCCTGGCACCGGCAGACCCTCCTCACATCTCCCAGGATACTCAGTGCCAGCACTCAGGGGCCACCCTGAGGGGCAAGAAGAGGCTTCAAAGCCCCTCAAAGCAAGCCCAGCCACTTGATGACCCTGAAGGTGAGCTTAAGTGAGAAAGACAGGGCAGAGTCAGGGCCAGAGAAAGGGAGGGAGAGATTTAACTTCAAAGTTGGTTAATTAAGCCGGGCGCGGTGGCTCATGCGTGTAATCCCAGCACTTTGGGAGGCAGAGGTGAGAGGATTGTCTGAGCCCAGGGGTTTGAGACCAGCCTGGGCAACTTGGTGAGACCTCATCTCTACAATAAATTAAAAAAATTAGCCGGGCATGGTGGCACATGCCTGTGGTTCCAGCTACTAGGAAGGCTGAAGCAGAAGGATCACCTGAGCCCAGAAGGTCGAGGCTGAGCTCAGAAGGATCACCTGAGCCCAGAAGGTCAAGTTCAATGATCTTGGTCCAATTTGGTAACTTTTCCTCCTTTATGCTCTTTACTTTTTATTTATTTATTTATTTTTGAGTTGGAGTCTCACTCTGTCGTCCAGACTGGAGTGCAGTGGCCG